CATCTCAAGACTGTACTCTTTTCTCCTTTCTGCAATTTATGTGAGGGCAAAATTTCTAAATTACAACCTGCATCAAATGTTTTTACATTTACAATGCAGTTTTGTAGAATTTAGAATAAAATAAATATCTCAAAGCAATTTTCGTCATTTCGAAAGCGAAAAATTGTTTCGATACAATTTTTTGAATTTCAATAACAAAAAAATATTTTGACCCAACTTATAGAATTTCGAAAGTAAAAAATCGTTTCGGTTTTATTTTAAGAATTTCGATGGTAAAGTAATATTTTTATACAAATTTTAAGAATTGCGAAAGGTAGTAATTGTTTTGGTGGCATTTTCAGAACTTCGATGAAGTAAAAATATTAAAAAAAAAAGTTTTCTTAAGTTATATTTTAAGAATTTTGCAATATGATCTTGATTGTATTTATATCCCAGTTAGGCTGGTTATGCTTTTCATTCTTATGAACAGTCCCTTAGAATAGCAGAAAAACGTGTTGAATACGCCCCTTAAAAATTAAAATTTTCATAACGTATATATATATATATTTTTTAATTATTTATTTTGCCGTTGATAAATATTACAAAAAAGAAATTACAATAAAAGAAAAACCTGGCCGGAGCAAGAAGAAGACAGGTTGTCTTATCACCGAGCCCCGTCACACAAAAATTTACATGCACAATAAATGATAAAAGACAAAAAGACAGTATAAATACAAAAATAAAAAATTTCAGCAAAAAAATAATTTGTTGCTAACAACCTTCCAGCAGAATAATTTTAAAAATAAAAAAGTAAAAACGACAGAAAATCATAAAAGTTATAAAAACACAAAAAAAAAATGCTATTTTTTTTTGTGTTTAATTAAAATAAAAAAAGCAATATACGTAAACATAAGTATTTGGGCTGATTATTTAATATCATCAAAAATATGAACGAAAAAGACAATTTTATTTTCGTTATCTTTTATACTAATGGTTTGAAACCATTTTAATAAAAGCTAAAGAAAGTGTTAAAGATTTAATTTATTTTTATGTGATTCAGTTTAAACCTTTAAATTGTTTGTCTTTAAAAGATTGGGTAGTTTAAGAGGAATATTCTCGGCTTTACTAGGTTTATGGAATAGGATAAATTTTGTTTTCTCTACATTTAATGATAGTCGGTTACTTATAAACCACTCGTTGATCTTATCTAATTCTTCGTTAAATATTTTAAAAAGAACAGTAATATCTTTGTGAGAATAAAACAAATTAGTATCATCTGCAAATAAGATAGTATTTAATACTTTTGATGATAAATATAAGTCATTTATATAAAGTAAGAACAATAATGGTCCCAAAATAGAACTTTGGGGGTACTCCACAAGTTATTAAGTTGTTTTTTGAGTCTTTTGATTCTTTAAGTATAAATTGCTTTCTGTTAGTTAAGTATGATATAAACCAAAGTAAACTTTGATTTTTAACAGAATTTCATGATTTACTGTGTCGAAAGCTTTGGATAAATCAATAAAAACCCTATTGTATAGCAATCACTATTAAATCCATTTGATATGACCAATTCAATTATTGCATGGTCAGTAGAATGATTTTTTTAAAACCGCATTGAATATTATACAAAATCTTATTTTCAGATAGATATTTATAAAGTCTGTTGTACATGTAATATGTAAGACATTTTTATTGAATCTTTCAATAATTCTTGATGTTTTTCAATAATTCTACAAAGCGAAGAAATTTTCAAATACAAAACACGGACATTACCTATAATAATTTTATCGGATATATCAAAATTACACGATAAAGCTTTTCCGGTGATAAAAAAACATTAAAACTAAATCATTTTAACAATCACTGGATTACACCAGAAGTATTAAAATCATTTGCTATAAATAATGTATGAATCTTTAAAAAGGTACTTGAGAAAATATAATAAAGAAAGAAAAATTTATTTTATTTTAATTTATATAAGTAAGATTTTTCTTTCAGATGTTACTTAAACTCCAATTGATTAGACTATACACTCCAATTGATTGAACTTTTGAAACTTATTTTTTTTTCAAAAATAATTTAGGTAAATAAATTTTTCTTTTCAAAATTAGTTTAACTTTTTGATTTTTGAAATTAATCTAGCTTTTTTAAGCTAGCTTTTCTTCTCTATTTTTATTTTTTTTTATCGAAATTATTTATTTTTCCGAAAATAATTTAATTTTCCAAAACTCAATTTAAATTTTCGAAATTAATTAGGCTGTTCGATAATTTTCAAAATTTTTTAACGATTTCGAAACAATTTTTTTTTATTATTCAAAAGTTTTTGAAAATTGTTCTTTTTGAAAATGAACCCAAGTAAAAAAATTTTTCATAACATTTAGTTTATTAAAACTGCAGTATTACACAAGTATCTTTAAAGTTCCCTCACCCCCTCTATCTAATTATTAAATTAATTCTAGATGTGCTCATGTTTAGGTTTTTACAATAGTATAAAAGATTAATTTTTGTATAATTACAAATACCAAACTGATTGCTTTTTAAAAATAGGCTCTATAGCAGAGGTTTCGTTTTTTTGTCACAACTTTAGTATTTGTTTTTAAAGTTTGCGTAACAAAGATATTTTTAAATAACATAAATAGTTTTAAAGTTTGCACAACATAGATATCGTTGATGTTAATGTTACTTTCGCTGATGATTTAAATATTACTTTCATCAGCATCAGCAGATTTAAATCATATAAAGTGTTTATGAAGTGATTCTTTTTACGAAAGAGTTTTTGTGAAACAATGTCTTTGTTTGAAGGAGTTTTAAAAAAATCAGGTTTAGATATTAATAGACCATTTCGGAAAAGATTTTGCACAATTTGTTGGGAAGAAAACGAAATGAAAAATAAAGTTAGTCTTCGAAGATTGATTTTTCCTTCGACGAGATCGCTTCAAGCAAAGGAATCGCACTCATATAACAGTCAAAACTCAAACAATTGCAAGCATTTAGTCTTAATCTACTATAAGCAAAAAGAAAAGAAAGCTGGAGACTATAAAGGTTGTTTTAATGTAAAGATTATACTAGGTTACGCTTAACTAATTTTTAATTCATTCATTCTAGAGTAAAAATTGGAATAGGTTATTAACATTTATTAAATCATTCATTCTAGAGTAAAAATTGGAATAGGTCAGTTCAACATAATAACTTCATTTTTTAAAAATCTTTACAACTAAATATTAAGTAAATTAAGTATATTTATCAATTTATATGTCTCACTAACCATATACTTATTTTTCTTACCAACATTTTTAATTAGCTATAAAATGAAATGTTTTCTGTTTATTGTGTTATTGTTTTAATATTTTTGAGTCGCACGAAAGTAGCATGTCCTAAATAGAACGTGTCAATGTTTTTTAAACGTTTCCAAATTCGAGGCATAGTGGGGTGGGGGGGGTGAGGGCAAGGTTTGGTACATAGTTGTATAAAACTTGCTAAGAATGATGTCTTACTGGGAGGCCTCATGTTATTACTAAAAGGAAAATAACTAAAAAATGGCTTCAAGAGGGAGAATTTAAAGTTAAAAAAAATTTCAAAAATAAAAACGATAACTAAGGTAAAAAATTTTTTTTTTTTTTATGAACTAAAACTTTTTAAAAGCTTTTAATACCATTTATTATTTTGAATTAAAAAAACAAAAACTATATACTTCAAAAAAGCTACCACTTAAAGGAAGTTTTTATGTTACCGTAGGTAACATTCAACTTTTATATTTTTATATTTTTTATTTTAATAAAGTTTCCAAAACAAGGTAAGTTTATCTCTGCAAAAAATTTTATAAGAAATTCAATTCAATATATATATATATATATATATATATATATATATATATATATATATATATATATATATATATATATATATTTATATATATATATTTAGTGTATTGTATTAATAATAAAAGTGTATTATAATAATAATTTAATGTATTATATTAATAATACATTAATAATAAAATGATTTTTATTTAAAATTAAAAAGACTTTTGCATATGTTATTTGAACCTTGAACAAAACTACATTGAGTACAAAATCTTTAATGATTTTACAGGGTATTGAACAAAATACAAAACATATAATCTTGTTTGCTATAACAATTTTACAAACTTTTTATTACTGTTATCAGTCCAATTGGGCTGTATGTTTCAAATTGTAAATCTAATGGTCTATTACACAGTGTATTGCATCAATCTCTTATAAGTTACCTTGTCCTGGCACTAATATAATTAAACTATATTGGTGTTATTAAATATAACACCAATATAACTTGTGTTTTATAATTTCAATGCTGTTTTCTGGCTTTTAAAATTTAAGTAATGCTAAACTCATTATTGAATTTTTTTTTTATGGAACGCAACTGTTCGATCAAAAATTGATTTTATTGATATAAGGAATGTGTTTTTACAACATTTTTTCAATAATTTTACAACTGCGCTAGTAATATCATTAGCAGATCTCCAGCTTATACATTCGGGCAATATGCATTAGTATACATTGTTGATAATTTTATAATGACCAGTTACGTTGTAAACATAAAATTTACTACATAATTAAACGCTACATACATTATCTTTTGACAGGTTAAACACTTTTTCAAGATCAAAACAACCCCTATTGTTTCGTTAATTATTTGTCGGTCCTTCGTTTTTTCTTCATCTATTTTTCTTTTGATGTGCGATTTCTTTCTAATGATGGTTGTTCAAGAATATTAAACTATTTATATTCATCACATCTTCTTTTTTTTATACTTTTCACATTTATCACATCTATCTTAGGTTTAATGAATGATAAATTAAAATAAACACTGAAGACTTTTTTGTAAATGTTTTCTTTTAAAGGATTTAATAGTACTTGTACCTGTGTGATTTTCGGCTCTTTTTTTTGTGCGTTCGCTTCCGAAGTGGTTTACCCCTAATCGTGTACTTACATTAAAAGTGTTTTTTTCTCATCCGACATTTACAAAAAATATTGTTCAAAATATGGTATCCATAGAGTACGTACGAAGTAAAAACACTAATTTAGAACCCCTTCCGCAAGTCCCCACCTGCGTGCTTTCAACTACGCCGTCTGCATACGAACGCATTATTTATGACAAATTTTATAGTAGATATTGAACAAGCATTTGTTAAAATGAAATTACGTAACAACAACTGATTATCAGTAAAAAGTGAATATTGAACAAATCAATTCTCATGCGACGAGGAAGGCAATAAAAATAAACATTGTACCTTTTCAGAGCTGTAATATATATATATATATATATATATATATATATATATATATATATATATATATATATATATATATATATATATATATATATATATATATATATATATATATATATATATATATATATATTTACTTCTTTATTATAAATATGTATATATATATATATATATATATATATATATATATATATATATATATATATATATATATATATATATAATAATAAAGAAGTAAAAATACTAGTAAGTTATTTTAGTTATAGTATGCCAGGAATAAAGAAGATGCAATTTCATTTGTTATTCAAAAGAGGAAATGCTTTTTAAATCCTTTATATTTTTGTACTGGTCCATCATTATTGAATCATCATCATCATCATTATTGAATCATTATCATCATCATCATCATCATTATTGAAATAATTTTTCAATTTATTTAAACAATAAAGGATCTTGACTTATATTCAACATTTTGGTACCTGATTTTACTATGCTGAAGCGATAGTTGTGGTTGCCATTTGATCAAAGATTGTATTTTAGAGAAAAAGTTGTTGTAAAAGTATCATAAAGTTTTGGCGGCTAGCTATTCTGATATTTATACATTATATTTTCTAATCTCATTAAGAAATTAGTTGCGTAGTTTTTCAAACTTTGTTTTTTGCGATTTGTATTCAAAAACGGTTCTTGATTTATATTTATATAGTTTTAACAGAGAATATTTTTTATTCCAGAAGAATAATATGATTTTTTTATGATAGATTCCCATCAAATAGAACTCCTAAATATTGTTCTTTTTTCCCACTTTATTTCATTCTGTCAAATGAAAGTTGGCATTCATAATTCAATTATTAATTGACAATATTTTATAAGAAACAGTATAAGCGGTTATAAATAAAGAAGCATGCTGTTTTAATTAGTAAATCAGTGTGCTTGAAAAAGATTTTGAGTTTTCGTACTCTTTCTGTGAATGTTAACATATAACTTTTTAGAAATTTATTTTTTTAATTTCCAATAAATTTTTAAAATTATTTAAATATTCCATTTTAAATTTTACTTCGTTTTTCACCTGTTATTGTGTTCAATGTTGTATCAGTTAATTAAAAAAATATATGTTGATTTTTTTGGTCATCATTTACAATAACTTGATTATATTAGTTGAAAGTATTTGTCACAAAAAATATTAACAGAAGAGCGTCAGAGTAGTGTGTGGTTGAAGTTGATTGTTATTTTCTGCTCATTTAGGAAAATTTGTACTTGACAATTCAGACTACAGAGAGGTATCAGAAGGAATTAGAGATTACCGAAACGTTATTTGCATTAGGTTATCTCATTTACACAACGAAAAAAATGGCGGTAGAGACTTATATTTATGTTTAAAGACAGAAGAGCAAAAAAATTGTTTACTAAAGGTCCTCCATGATAATATTGAAATTGTTAGTATTTATTTTTATTTTTTTATTGTATGTGTTTGCTAAAGAAAAAAAAAACATTCCTAGTTTATAAAAAAGTATTTAGATGCCTCGGGCTAGAAGAAGACAAATTAAGCACTTAGCCCTTTTTTTCTAAGCAATAATTTTGTGAAAAGTTGTTTAAATAATACTGATTAAAAATAGAGTTAGCACTTATTTTTTCATTTTTTTATACCGTAATAGATATCTAGCCAAGCAGAATATATTGAAGATACAAATGAATATCCAACAAAATTCATTCCTTTCGATAATGATAACCCGTAAGTTGAGATTTTTTTAAACATTAATACAACCAATATTTTAAGATAATTGCAAATTAAATTACGTATGTATGTATCTTTGTATTTATGTATGTATGTATCTACTTATGTATGTACCTATTTATGTATGTAATGCATACAAATATATATATATATATATATATATTATATATATATATAAATATATATATATACATATATATATATATATATATATATATATATATATATATATATATATATATATATATATATATATATATTATATATATATATATATATATATATATATATATATTAGGGTGATTCAGAATGAGAGAATTTTAAAAACAAAAATACATATCTTTTTAAATTTGGGGCAAATATATAGAAATTAGGTTTTAAAGTATAACAGGCATTTTCTGACCACTCTAGACCCTCCCACAAGACTTATTAATTTTTTTGTCAAAAGTTGCTGATTTCAGTGACGTCGAGAAAGGGTCTAGTATAAACCAAGTTGACTGAATTAAAAAAAAAAAGAGCCTAGACTATATATATTTTGCATTAAAAATCATACGTATTTTTGTTTTAGTTTTATTACCGAGCATTTTTGACTCAAACTATCCATAAATTCACAAAATTTGTGAGTTAATTGTGATACTAAGAAATCATAAGTAATATAAAAATACATTTTTTCTAATATAACAGGACCATTGAACTGGCCTTTAAAGTGAAGGGGGGGGGGGTAGACCATTTTTCAATTTTATATGTAAAAAAAAAGATCCTCGAAAAAGAAAAATAAGGCACGCCCCCTCTCACCCCATCCCCCTCATCCCCCTGGTTTCGACGGCCATGTGTAATAAAAATATTTTTTGGTTGATAATATTGTAAATTGCTTATTACTTAAACTAGTAAGCTATTTGTCTTACCTCTCCCTTCACCCTTATCTACTAATTAAAAATCAATTTTCTTTCTGCATGATCGTTTACTATGATCAAGTTTTTGCATAGGCTTAAAACTGGTTGTAATATAATTGAGTGTGCCAGAAAGATAGTGAAAGTGACAATCAATTGCGTATTCTCTCTTCTGTAAACCCACTTACTGCAAAAATAAAGTAGGAAAACTCGTTAACTAACACCGCCAAGTTTTGTGGATTACTAGCCGTTGTGCTATCTAGGTTGATTATATCTTTGATATCCACTTTCAGCTTATTTTATTTTCAATTTTGTAATCAGATACCTTTAAAGATGGAATTTTGTAAGATAAAATTGATTTGGCGATTAGTGTTTTATCTTTATCAGGAACTTTATAATTTAGAAGCAAACGAGGTATCAAAGTTGAGACTAAGTACCAAGAGTGTTTTAATATTAAGTTAATGACTTTATCTGCAGCTTCTTTTTCTTGGCAAACATCTTTATACAGAGTCATTAAATTTAATTTTAAGAGCTGTAATATTAAGGTATGAGGCTTTAATAGGATTGTGGCTTTGCAAGTACCATGAAGCATAAAAACAACAAATAAACTCCACAATGTGTTCTGCTTGAGCTTTTACGTCTTCTTTTTTTTATCAACAAATTTAGTTGTTTAGATAGCAGATGTAACTTTGTATAATAAAAAACTGAGCTAAAAAATCTTGCATGATAAACTGAATCATGTTTTTTTATTTTAACAATTCCTGATTTCAATAAATAAATAATTACAAGCTTTGGTAGTTCTTTTCTGTCTTCCCTAGCAATATTTTTTATTTTAATGTATTTTTTGCAATATTCGAGTGCATCTGTTGCTGCTTTTTTGACTACAGTACTAGCCTTTAATGAGCAATCAAACCTTAATATGTTTTCAGGATTTTAATAAAACTCTGGATTGTTAAGCTTATTTTTTAATTTTTTAAAAAAAAGATTTTCTGGTCCTACCTTTATTTCATGAGTAACATGTTTCTAAAAATGACTTATTCTAAGCTCTGTAACATGGTGCCAGCAGGCTGGAGAATGTATTTACTTAAATCATAAGTAATTCTATTAACAACCTCTTTCGAAATACCGGTATTTGTTACTGTTGTGTCACAATCCACTAACATTTGATTTAATACCATATTTATCTAGCAACTTATTATTCCATATATTAATTGTCTCCTGAAGAGGATGGTAAAGAAGGCACACCCAAAAAGTGTAATTCGTCATTAATATTTACTAGTACAGCTAGTCGCTCGTATTTTAGTTTCTTTCCTTTAATTGTCTCAAATATAATTTTTCCATCAAAATAAATTATACATGGGAATGTAGGTAAACGTACTTTTGTTTTAACATCTTTTTTAGCAATATTTGAAATTTCTTTCTCTTTTCATTCTTCTAGCTGCAGTTGAGAGACTTGAATTGATAACATTTATGTCTACTCCTGTAGCTTGAACAACCGCTGTTGTAATTCTCTGCAGAACCATAGGAGAGATGTTATTAACAGTTGCCATTAATGCAACATTTCCAAAATAAATATCTTTAGGAATGTTGGCCCAAATTTTTGTACTGCTTAGTTTATTTTTTCTTTTTATCTATTCTCCTGGCTCGAAGTCAGAATCAGAAAAGTTATTTGAATATAGTTCATCATTACTGCTGACTTCTTCTTCGTAAAATTTTAAGATTTTACTCGGTGATCCATTCTTCATTGCATTTTTGCACTTTATTATATTTAATGATATAAAAATAATTTTATTAGTTATAAGTTGTGACAAATTTATTAAATAAATCTATTTGTTATAAGAGTGACAAAAACACAAAGTTAGAGCATATTTAATAAATTTATCAAACTATTAAGAGTATATTATTCAAAACTAAATGTGTGGATGAGAATCAACTTAGTGTAAGTCCAAAAACAAAATAAAGTTAATTAAATCGATATTTTATATACTAATACTTCACTCCATATAGTAAAGTAACTCAATAGTTCATTTACTTTGAGAGCATCATTTAATTGAAATCTGACGCAAAACTGCCTAAACATTAAAAAAAATAAAACTTACACTATGCAAATTCTCACAACCAAAACATAATCAAATTACTTTCTTAGTATATTTAGTGTCTAGAGGACCCAAATAATATAATCTTGGACCTTCTTGATTTTCTAAGAATTGTAAATCTTCGATTTAAGATTCATTGGATCTTAGCTTGTCACTTTAAATAAAATCTTTTAGTTCTGGAATTCCTACCCAAAAAATATGTACAAATAGAAAATATGTAAAAATATAAAATACGTAAAAACACAAAATATGTAAAAATACAAAATACGTAAAAATACAAAATTTTCACAATACAATTTTTCACAATAAAATTTTTCAAAATACGTACAAATACAAAATACGAAAAATATAAAACACGTAAAAATACAAAATTTTCAAATCCTATTTGATTTTTAATATCTTGCTTTGAGTTTCTTTTGACATTCTTTAATAAATTAGAATATTTTTGCTCAAGATTTTTTAATCTTTTTCGAATATTTACTTTGCTAATAATTGGAAACCCTGCTTTAACCCATGGATGTTTTATTTTTGACATGATACATTCACATTCAACTAGTTAACAGCTATCAACCTCAAGTTTGACTTCGGAGGACAATATAGAGTATCCAACTTTTTTGTAATTCGATTTGGCCAATTTGGTTGAGAATATTTAAAATGTTGCAAGATATATATACCCGTTGGAAGTTCCGTTCCTAAACCATATAGGTTTTTATTAAAATAGTATTACCAATATTATATAAATAGTATAAATAAGCGCGCATTATTTATCTTACAGAGTATAATAGTGTGATGGATTGGTTTCGATATTGAGATGAAAATTGAAAATGACTTTTTTCAGGTAAATACAAAATAGCATAAAATCGAATCGATGACTGTACATTATTTTTATTTCTATGCAACACATACCTGAAATAGCAGGCGTAGCTTTATCGATAATATGAAAAATCTTTTTAGAAGATCTAAAACTGTTATTACGCAAAATCTTGGGTTTTTGATAACTTATATCATTACTTGATCAGTTACTTTAACTATATTGAATTTTAAAATTCAAAATCAAAAATGTCAATTTCAAAATTTAAATCAATGTAGTGGCTTCATATTAATTGTTTTTTTTTTTTATATAAAAATAAATTCATATGAAACTTTGGTAAAAGAACAGAAAGTGTAATGGTTTGTTATTTATTTTATTTTGGGAAATAGCCGGCGGAGGGGGATGGAAGAATGTCAAGGAAACTTACCTTCAAATATTTAACTAACTAAAGTAGCAAGCATTGTACAATATTTTTAACTAAGATACATTTTTATTATATTAGAAAAAATGTATTTGTATACTCCAAATGCTTTCTTATATATATATATATATATATATATATATATATATATATATATATATATATATATATATATATATATATATATATATATATATATATATATATATATATATATATCACAACAAAAGTCATAAATTTTGCAAATTTATTGATAGTTTGAATAATAAATGCTCAGTAATAAAACAAAAACAAATATACGTATGATTTTAAATGCAAAATATATGTAGTGTAGGCTCTTTTTTTTTTTTTAATTCAGTCAACTTGGTTTATATTAGACCCTTTCTCAACATCACTAAAATCAGCAACTTTTGACAAAAAAATTGACATTTTTTTTCACAAAAATAAGCCTTGTGGGAGGGTCTAGAGTGGTCAGAAAATGCCTGGTATATTTTAAAACCTAATTTTTATATATTTGCACCAAATTTAACGAGATACGTATATATCTATATATATATCTATGTATATATATATATATATATATATATATATATATATATATATATATATATATATATATATATATATATATATATATTATATATATATATACAGCTGCGAAAAATAAAATAGCACCACCACCAAAAATTGGTTGAAATTAGAATTTTTAACTATTTTTGATAGTTTGAAAATCTTTTAAATACATATTTAAAAGTAAAATGGCTTATAATTTTTATAAAAAACAAAATATTCAAGTTTTGATAAATAGTGTTCATTTATTGAACAAAAATTCAAAAAAAAATCAAATAAAACACGAAAAAAATAATAGCACCACAGTTTTAATGTGTACTTTAAAATAAGGAAATATTATGAGACCAAATGTTTTAAACAATTTACAATAAATATTAGTTATTTCTTAACATATTAGTATTTTGTACCTTTATTGGCAATGACGGCTACACAATGTCTTGGCATCGAGTTAACCAAATCCTGACACCACTTTAGCGGAATTTTGCTCCATGTCTCCTTAACTACGTTTTAAAGTGACTCCTTCGTGGTGGGTTTGGCAGCAGCAACCACCTCCTTTACATCAGCCCAAAAATTCATGATAGGGTTTAGATCTGGCGACTGTGCTGGCCACTCCATAACGTTCACTTTATGCTCCTCCTCAAACCAATTCTTCGTCTTCTTGCTAGTGTGCTTTGGGTCATTGTCCTGTTGGAACACCCAGGACAACGGCATTTCATAGTCTGCAAACGACAACATCACTTTATCCAATATATCAACATAAACGTGTTGGTCCAAAATAGTAGTAATGTGATGAATAGGCCCTACTCCGTAATAAGAAAAGCATCCCCATATCATTATACTACAACATCCATGTTTAATAGTTTTGATAGTATATTTTGGATTGTATTCTGCATTCGGCAGTCTTGACATACGCCCGAGAGCCTTTTCCACCATAAAGCACAATCTTACTTTTTTTGAAATTTTATGACACTTCTTATCATTTTATTGGAACACTCAACTAAATGACCAACTTCTCTATAAGATTTCCATGCTGATATCAGCTTTCGGATCAGTTCTCGTTTTTCTGCACTACAATGCTTTCTGCGTCCCATTTTTATATGTTATTGTCTCCTACTAATACGCACGAACATAAAACGAATAATTCAGCAAAAAAAAAATCCAACGCTTGCTGTTTTCACTATTATTTTTACCGTTATCAAAGTATTTTACTACAAAAGAGTATGTAGTGCTATTTTATTTTTCTGTCAGAATTGGCATTGTTGATTAAAATCGAGCAACACCAAACAGTTTTTTTTCCAAAATGATTTGTTTTAGAAAATAAACATGTTAGTTAATATTTTAAACAGTAAAGCTATAAAAAAAAATTTATTTTGCTGGTGTTTTCTTAACAAAAAAGAAAATTTCGCTTAGTGGTGCTATTTTATTTTTCGCAACTGTATATATATACATAGATATATACATAGATATATACATAGATATATACATAGATATATACATAGATACATACATACTATGTATGTATCTACTTTACTGCATGTTACATGTTTTTATTTTAAAACCTAATTTTTATATATTTGCACCAAATTTAACGAGATACGTATATATCTATGTATATATCTATATATATATGTACATATATATATATATATATATATATATATATATATATATATATATATATATGTATATATATATGTATACATAGATATATACATAGATATATACATAGATATATACATAGATACATACATAGATATATACATAGATATATACATAGATACATACATAGATATATACATAGATATATACATAGTTATATACATAGATATTACATATACATAGATATTACATATACATAGATATATACATAGATATATACATAGATATATACATACATACTATGTATGTATCTACTTTACTGCATGTTACATGTTTTTAACACAGTTATAGAAAAAAATGTGTATTTATCAATTTTTAACAAAAATTAAAATTAATGCAATCAAATTTTAATATTTTATTGAGGTACCTTAGCCATAAAAGTGGAAAATGGTAAACCATACTCTTATTTATGTGATACAATTAAAAATAATAAGTTTTTTATGAATAATATATTTTCCAATCGAACCAATAGATTGTTTGAGTATATTCCTTCAGAATTTCACTCGTACTGTAATTGTGAATATCGTGTGACTTGTTTTGTGTTAGGTGTTTTGTGTAATGTAGTAAGAAGTAACGTATTTTTTTTTTTGCTGCTGAAATTTTATTTCATAGTTAAGTTAATGTTTATTGAATCAATAATGCCTGTAGTCATGGATTGAAAATCTCACTACAATCAGTGCTATAATTATGTTTTACTGTTGCTACAACTACCCAGTGGGCACACGTTGTCCAAGGGACATATGCTGGATGTCTAGACATCCGTGAGATGTCCCCTGGATTTCCCCTAGAAACTAGATTAGCTATAAAACCTAGCTCATTCAGTAATAAAAAATATGATCCAGTTCTTAATAACTAGAACATCGTTTCAAATAAGTTGACCTTCAAAACCTCGGTCTAACTCACCATAAAAAAGCAATGTGAGCTTTCCGCATAACGAGAGAAACATCATTAAAAAAAATTAAAATATTAAATGTGTTAAAAAGCAACAGTTCTTGAATTAATTTTCGTAAAACCATAAAATGTTTTCAAAAATTTTATTTTTATCAAGTTCTATAACCCTTACAAGCTTTATTTTTTGGTTTTTTGGCTGGTTGGTTTTGTTATAAATAACTTTTTTTGTTTATATTTCATTATATTTTTTGTTTAATAGACTTTTGAAAAAGTTAGAAAGTATGAGAAACAATTTACGAAATCAAAATGAAAACGAAACTTTTTACATTGATGCATCGACTAATGACTTTTATTTTTCAGCTCAAGAAATTACAAACATTTTTAAATGTTACAAGTTTATTGCAACAAAGTTATGACTGTGGCTTCACTTACTAATTTGATCATTTCGTCAACGAAGTTGTAAACCAATATAAAAGTTTTAAACCAATAACAACAAGCTTTTTAAGACTTCAGAATTTTAAGAATCAAGATAATTCTTGTTGCGGCTCAAATGGTTCTTTTTGCAAATTAATCTACATTCGTTATCACTGCAAAATAATCTACATTCGTTATCGTAGCAAATTATTCTTCATTCGTTATCGTTGCAAATTGATCTACATTTGTTATCGTTGCAAATTAATCTACATTCATTATCGTTTTGAATGCGCTTGTTGCTTATTAAATTAAAAACGAGTTTTATGAAATTATGTATAATAATTGTGCAAGTTAAAAATGATATAAGCAAGTTAATACTTTAATAACTAAACTAATATTTTTGATAATAATCGAACTCTAATTTTTGTTGTTTGTAAGATATATTATAAAATATTTATTTGTAATATTGCGAAGTAATTTATTTTTATTTATTGTATCATTAAGTAATAACACAGTTAACTTATTGTCTTATTAAGTTTTTAATAAAAAGAGGGAAAGAAGTCTGTACTTTTTACTGATTTCAATTTTTCCATTTATCAATTATTTTTCTTGAATATTTTTAAATCCATGAAATACAACACCAAGTGATTGCAATGAATAGGCAATTAAACAAACAAATAACATTCGTTCAGCTTAATTAAGTACCTTTTCACAAAATTTTCACTATAAGACTCTGAAATATCAATTCGATGCTTTAGTTTTAAAAGATGCTTTATGAATACGGAAAAGCCATCTCAAAATCAGTGAAAGAGAAAAACAAAGTATTTCATTTCAGGTATTTAATCTATCGCAAAAAGCTGAATCATAAATAATAGCTAATGTATATACTGCAACTTTGAATACGTTGAAGAACCCCCTGTCTGTTTAATTCTTTATCTAATAAAGATCATTTTAAAAAACATTCCAATTTATATTTTATATACAAAACGGTGCCTGGTGACAAGATTTACAACTTTACTATGGATATGTATGTATTTTTTGTATATATAACTTGATTGTATTTATTAAACAGCGAAATAAATGTAAATAAATAAAAAAGAAAAAATATAGCATCTAAAATTGTATAACAGTCGTATCCGATAAAAATATAGCATATAATATCAATTTGTCACTTAAAATCATATCCCCTATGTTTCCAATGTAAAACTTAGTAAAATAGCATATTTAATCAATTTTTGTTTTAGAATTTCATACCCCCCCCCCCCCCCCCATGTATAGCAATTGTATCTAACATAATATGTGTAAATCTCATCCTACATATACCTGCTATAAACATTGTTTATATTGAATATTTTTTGGATGGCTTAGGTGCTTTTAAAAGTACTTTAGGATGCAATAACTTCTAATCGCGTCAGCTTTTTCATTTTTTTTATGAGGGGATATAATATTCTAGACGCATTGGATATTTTATGAGGGGATATAATATTCTAGGCGCATTGGATATAATATTATAGTTTAAAACTATAACTCCAGTTATCTCAGTTCCATACTTGAAGTGTCATCAGTGTTGTGGTTAGTGGGTTGGAGGTCCCCCCAAAACCTATCATTAGTGTTGTGGTTAGTGGGTTGGAGGTCCCCCCAAAACCTATCATTAGTGTTGTGGTTAGTGGGTTGGAGGTCCCCCCAAAACCTATCATTAGTGTTGTGGTTAGTGGGTTGGAGGTCCCCCCAAAACCTATCATTAGAGCCCTAAAATCTTAAGAGTTTTTTCTCTAGGTGTTGCTAAAAAAAAATCAGACTTTTTGCAGACTTTTAAAAAAAGTATTTTTCCCATTAAGTGTTACTTGAGTAATATTTTATGCTGATTTCAAATCTGAAAACTGTTTTGCTCCTTCAGGTCAAATATTTAAATTATTGTTGAATATATACATATACATATACAGTAATATATATATATATATATATATATATATATATATATATATATATATATATATATATATATATATATATTATATATATATATATATATATATATATATATATATATATATATTCAGAATGAATATCATTTGCTTGCACCAGGTACAATAACAGCAAGCTTTCGTCACAGGCAGAAAAATTTTATTCAGTACTTTGACATGAGTGACAGTATTTGCTTCTGAACCAATGTTGATAGTTTTTTGTCATGCCTAGGAGTTGAACACAGGTTTGAAGAATGGCGATTGTTCATCATCTCATCCAAGACTAGTCTAAAGACAGTATTGTTGCACAATGGAAATAGATAGTATCAGTACCAGTTGCATACTATGCCCACATGAAAGAGACGTACAAAACATGTCTCAACTTCTGGAAAAACTAAGTTACCGCAAGTACAACTGGAGTATTTGCGGTGACTTAAAAGTATTAGCTATTTATATGGGAATGCAGTCAAGATACACAAAGTACTGCTGCTTTATATGAGAATGGGACAGCAGAAACAGGAAGCAACAATACATCAAGAAGAATTGGCCAATCAGAGACAGAATGCAGCCAGGAAATAAAAACGTTCTCCATCCAATTTTGGTTGATCGTGACAAGATAATCATGTCACTGCTTCATTTCAAGTTGGGACTAATAAAAAATTTTGCCAAAAAACTAGACAGTGACTCTGTTGCATTTCAGCACCTGCGCAATAAGTTCCCAGGGTTAGGTTATGCAAAGATAAAGGTGTGTTAATTGGACCTCAAATAAAAAAAAATTATGGCTAATGAACAGTTTCATGATATTCTGTGTTATTGAAAAAGATGCGTGGGTGGCATTCAAGTCAGTCGTAACCAATTTCCTTGGAAATAACTATAATATATATATATATATATATATATATATATATATATATATATATATATATATATATATATATATATATATATATATATATATATATATATATATATATATATATATATATATATATATATATATATATATATATATATATATATATATATATATGAAATGACAAATAGCTTCATAAAGGTTAAAATAGTTATTACGTTTCTCTAATTTGTTTTTATATTATTATCTTTTCCATTTTGTTATTAAATATTTATAAATTTTCTTTTTAAATTAAATTCAATCTAACAATAATGAATTTTTAGTTTTTTTTATAGAGAGAGATTTTATAGAGAATACATGTTAATTTGAGTTCTATCTTTTTAGTCACCACTGGGAAAAATTTTAATGTAACTTAAGATTATTGATGACAACCAAACTATTTTTAGAGACATTTTTCTGTCACAATAGCTAAAAATTTAGCCTAGTTTTTAAACTATCTAAATAACTAACTAGCCTAGTTTTTATTAACTAAATCTTGTAAAGATACAAGAAAAAGACAAAGAGTTAACACAAATAAGAAGATGTTTATAATTGTAACGATAAAATATTGTTTCCTTGGTGTTCTAAAATAATCAACCATTTGTGGCAAAAAAAAAAAAAAAAAAAATCTTATCTTCTTTTTGATATAAAGGGTTTTAAATAATTTTTCTTCCTCTTTCCAACACAAACATTATGTGTTTTTAATAGTAGTAAAAAAACAAATAAACAAGAAGTAGACAAAACTTTCAACATGTATTTTACTTAACAAACTGATAAATTCCAACAACTTACACTTTTAAAGATGTTTAAAGTGCTGCATAGAAAAAGTTACCGTATAACTAAAGTTACAATGCAACAAAAAGAAATCAAAACGTCTTCGTGTTTTTCTATTATTGCTGATGAAACAGTTCGTTAGTTATAAGAATTTTCAGCTCCAATTAAGGCATGAAGAAAGAATTCACCAAACTTCAAAGTTCAAATAGTTTTGCTTTAGGTTTTACAAAAAGGTTTTTTAGTGTTTTACAAAAAAAAAATTCTAACTTTTCTTTGCTTAATACAAATTGTAAAATCATGACATGGATACTTTTCAAAAGCACATTATTTCTGCGGTTTTCTGTATCTGTGTTTAAATATTGATTAGCCATTTAATTTACTTCTTACTTTTTCTATAAAGTAAGATATCAATATAGTTATACAGTTCAATCCGCTAAAATTATGCGGTTTATGTATTTGGTATTTTTCCTTTTATTTTTGCAACAAAGAGATGTTAATATAAGAGGCGGACCCATCATTTTTACAAATTTCTTTTTTTTTTTTTTTTTTTTTTAAACAAACAAAAAAAATATAAACAGTATTTAAATAACTGAAAAACCGAATTTAAATAATAATAAATAGTATTTATATACTAATTAATAATTATACACGAGACTAGAGACCGGTATTAGAAATTATTGGATTAGAAATTCGATTTGATATCGTTTACAAAGTTATCTCTGAAACTGAAAAAAAACTGCTTGAGAAGTTAGAAGAAGGTTTTAACTTTATGTTGGCTTATCTAAAGTCCACTAATCTTGGCAGAGTATCGTACCAAAGACAACACGAAGGCAATGCTTCGAATTTATTTAAAAAAAAAAATGTGTTAAATAGATTTTTTGTATACATGGTCTTAGTACTCAGAGTGATAAATATATCATGGTCCTAATATCTTTTAGAGACGATTTTAGAAAAATGTTTTGGGAAAACGTTTTGCAAAACATACATCGACGATATCAAAACAAATCTTCAGAAGATTACAGAAACATAGGAGCCAGTGTAACAGGTAAAGTTTAAATACTTGGGCATAGGTTTTGAAGAATTTGTTGAGCTAAAAGGTATATTTGGTAAATAGGAAATATCCTTTAAATAATTTAAAAACTCAGAGAATATATTTACGCAAATATCTTCTCTAGGCTCAACTTATTTTACATTTACGCAAAGTTTTAAGAAGCATCATCCTAATTATTTGAAATCATTAAAAATTATTTCATTGCTTTTTTTTTGTATTGAGTTATTTTTGTAAATTAATAAATAACTTAGTTATTTTATAAGTCATTTTAGTCATTTTATTTTAATGACTTATTATTCATTTTAGTAGATTTGAGTTAAAATTAGTAACAGCTTTCAGACCTAAATTTTGAAAAATTGGGTACGAACTTAATATTTCTTTAACAATTACTACTAAGGTATTATTTCGTTTCACTTAAAATTTTTTGATGTATTGATCACTAACAGGTATGGTTAAAAAATGAAAAGTTTTGCAACTGTAAACTCAATCTGTAGCTTTCAATTTACTAAAAGTTTTACTTTACTAAAAAGTCAGTCGACTAAATTTAATTGAATTAAAAAGTTAGCCAATTAATTTTAGTTAACTAAAAAGCTAGTTGACTAAAATTGATTGGACTAAAAAGTTAGTTGTCTAATTTTAGTTTAAAATTACTAAAACTAACCTTAACTCCCACCCCTTTGAAGAAAAAGCTTCTTTCTCGGTTACAGTAACTTTCTACTGCAACCTATATGTTAGAAGGGGAGAGCCAGTAGCTCTGTGGCTATCGCTTTCCTTCCAACATTTCTATTGATTGCTCCCGCCAAAAATGTACTATTGCCCTTTGAATGTCACTTTCTGTGGCTTTTGAGTTTGGGGGACTTCCCATCAATGCGCCTATAAAATTAAAACACGCAAGACAACGTGCATATAAAATCAAAAAAGCTTATATTCTTAAACAAAGCTACATATTCTTGGTTTGTAAAAATGATTGCAGTAAATAAAAAAAAATAAAAAATTAATATATATATATATATATATATATATATATATATATATATATATATATATATATATATATATATATATATATATATTATATATATAATAACAGTTGAAATAGTAATTACAAAGCTAATTACAAAGAAATTATTTCTAAATTTACTTAAATTAACTTTTTACATCAATATAAATGTACGCCAAATGGAGCTGTTAAGGGAATCTGTAAAAAGATTTATTTTGGAGTTTTATACCCAAAAATGCTGAATCTACTTTGATTTCCTTTGTTTAGGTATTAAAGTTTAGAAAAATAAAATTATATAATAGTTATTATATCAAAATTTATATTAAGGTTTGCATCAATATTATATTAATCTATTTTTATCAATCTGATACATCAATAAAAGTTCTTGTTTTACAACGTTTTTCCTGGGTTGGTGTATTGAATTATAACCTGGTGGAAAAAAATTAGAATTTATTTCATCGCCATTTTGACACCAAGTTTCCGTTAGACAGATTACACTAAAATTGTAGTTTAAATTTTTTAAAGTCATTTTTAGAGATTCAAAATTTTTACTCATACTCCTGATGTTCAAATTTAATAATAAAAAATTTGATAATGAAGAATTTAAATATCTTGAGGCATGGCTTTATTAAAATAAACAGTATCTAATAAAAAGTTATTAAAATAATTCATGTCAGGGTCAAAGTCATTTATAAAACAATAGTGTTTTCACTAGTAAATATATTAAAAACATTCAAAATATAATTTTCCGCTAATCAAAAATTAAAAAAAAAAAGTATATAAATGTATGCGTTTAAATCCGCAGGTGTTTTTCAAAACGCCTTAACATATATTTCGATATAACCGTTATATTTCGAGAAAAACACAATTAAAAAAAAAAATTGTTTGGAGAACTCTTTGTTAAACGTTTTTTGAAACGAATAATTTTTGTGAATTTTTTCAGAACTCTTTGAAAATATGTTTTCAATAACGTTTGTAGACATATAAACCAACTTATTTTGTAAAAAAGTCAAAACTGATATTTTTAACCTTAAGGGGCAACTACTCTCAAGATATATATACTTTCGTGAAGTATATAGTTGCAAGTGCAACTATATACTTCACGAAAAAGAATGTTGCAGTAAGTTGCCATTTGGCAAACTTTGTCACCTTAAATACTTCTTAAATTTATATCCTTACAAGAATCGTCAAATCTTTTAAAATAAAAAAGATATTAACTAGATTTTCATCTTTACACTATTGTACCCAGCAATACGAACTAATGACATTTTAATATCAGCTTTATAAGGCAGTTAACTTGTTAAGGGAAAGTCCGGTAGCCCAGGACGGTGGGTAACTCCGGACACTCGATGTACAGCTTAAACTATAGAACCTTTTATTTTATATACTATAAAAATACTATTTGAGCGAAAATATGGCATATGCAAAATATTTACTATAATATGCCGAAGCTATTGGCTGGGAGTGCAAGATATTGTTTTTCGCCACAAGGAGAGCGATGTATCTTCATATTTGATTCACATATTATTATACCTAAAACTTATGTAAACTAATAACTTTTTATTGATTAAAGATTTTTGTTTACAATATTTATTAAAAAAAATTATTTAATACTTTAACTCACTGGTTTTAAAACTTTGTGAATGAGGTGTGATCGAGTGGTATATACGATCGGGTGGTATCGAACACATGTTTGGAGGGTGGCTCCGGAAAACTTTATCAATTTACAAATTAAAAAGAAGCAATTTTTTTATATAAATAAAATAGATTTAATACAACACGTAAACCTTTAATAGTAATTCATTTAATTCCAATAAAAAGACCAAGTTTCAAAAAAAGTGTTTTTAAAGCGTTTATTTTCATAAGTAAAAACCAATTTTTATATTACTAAATGAAGACATTTATATTTCCATTTCTTATATATCAGAGGCAATTTTTAAAGGCAGTTTTTTCAAATGTGTTGAAAACATTCTAATGTTAATCAATTATATATTATATTTGTGTCATACTGGTAAAAATAATGTAAAATCATGGTTAAACTATGTGTTCGGGGCTACCCTCCAATTTTGAAACACGTCTTTTTTCTAACAATTTTTCATTTATGTTTTGTACATTATTATGAGGGGCGATTGCCCCCCTTAAATACTTTTGAAATAATTTTTATTTTCAAATTTATATATAACAAAGCATCTTTTTTGAAAATCAAAGTAAATTAGGAAGTCTGTCTAAAAGGGATATAATGTTTTAATAGTTTTGTGTGGTGCAAAAAAAAAAATTGGACTGTTTAGATATCAATATAATGTAACTTCAGAGTTACATAAATACTTCATAGCTACACAGATTAAAATACTGTAAAACTAATATTATACAAACTAATATCTGTAAAACTAATATTATACAAACTAATATCTGTAAAACTAATATTATAGCAAAACTAACTAAAAAAGTTTTATGATTTAAACCTAAAAATTGCTCGCCCACCCTCTGCTTTATTAGAGTCTGCATCTATTGAACACATATATTCCTACTTCTTCTTTCCTGAATGGTCTGGATCCACCGAATCAAGAAAATCTGAAAATCGCCTCCTTACTAGATAGTCTGGATCCACCCTGCCACCATGGTACTACAAAAGAGTTTAACTCAAACTTATAACTATGCGGTAGTGGTGTAGTGGTAGGGCGCTAACCTCATAAGTTTCGAGAAGTTCCAAGATAGATCTCCACCAAGTCCCTTGTAGTATCACGCTCAACTTGTTTCTACGCGCAGCGGCCTTGTTCGTCAAGGTTAATGTTTCGTAGTTATAAAGTTATATTATAGAGTTATATTATAGAGAGGGTTATAACCACAATTTAAAAAAAATAGCCTTGTCGACTGTGGTGGCCTTCATGGCCTTGGGGAGGTAAATTAACATGTACATAAGAAAAAAATAAAAAGGTAAAATCAAGAAATAAAAAGCATATTTTTTGTCTTTCAACTTTGAATTTGAAAAAAATTGAAAAAAATATGTTTTATATAACTATGTGGCATAGTCTAAGAACTTATGTTGAACATATGTAATTCTTTCTTAAGTCAGGCCCGTATCTAAGGTTGGGGAGGGAGATGGGGTGATTAGGGTGGTTGTCACCCTCCTTTAAAAAAATGAGCCGATTTCAAAGCTTTACTAAATTTATGTGTTTTGCTTTTTTATTTTTATTCATTAAAAGCCTTTCTGAGTTGGCTTATGCACATCACTATGATTACAACTTTGGTTTAGGCGGAGTCGTTAAAATGTTTGCAAAGTTACATCCGAGAAGATTAGAACTTGTTTTATTTTTTTAGACGATTTACAACTGTTGTAATTAATTGAATACTTATCATTGAGACCAAATGTTTGTTGTTTATTTATTTTTCATCACTTACATTATATTAAAAATTGCAGCAAATTTTTTCCTTCGTGTTTTTTTCATAGACAAAATTTATTGATGAATAACCTCTTTTTTTATGTGTTATTACGTTGTGCGATTAAAAAATCTCAATAACTCATGAGTATAAAAACATTTTTTCTAAATGCAAACTTATTTAGATGATAAAGAAGAAACAGTACATTAAATTCAACAATGAAATACTTTAGTCAAGTCTTTATAAATACTAAGATATCTAGGAATAGCATTTTCGATTGTCTGAAGACTGATATATATATATATATATATATATATATATATATATATATATATATATATATATATATATATATATATATATATATATATATATATATATATGATATATCAGTACTTAAAGACTAATAATAGTGAAATTAAATGAATTAGTTTTAATGCAGTTAATTAGGCGACATTGAATGCGCGCAGGCCCGTAACAAGACTTAGGAGGATGACAAACTTTTTTCGGTAGCCCACTGTTTTTTTAAAGGGAAATTTCATAAATAAGGGCGCCAACAAGGGTTGCTGTAATTCGAATTCGAATTTTTACGCAATTTTAAATACATATCAGTATATACAAATGCTAAAAAATTTAGTAAAAACAATCCCAGCAAACACAAGACGTCTTTAAGACCGTCTTACTTAGGTCATTAAATGGTCTTGTCATAGAAAGACGTCTTCAAGACGTTTAATATCTAGCTTTTTAAATCCTTTTTTTGGCGTCCATCTAAATTTTCTTATATACGTCTTAAAGACATCTTTAAAAAGACAAGAAAATATTTGCTTGGTTTCGTATGACGTCTTTAGTGCGCCAATCTTTTACTTTGGGTATAATATTTTAAATAGCACTCTTTAAAACGTCTTAAAAACGTCTTCAGTAAGACTGCATTAGCGTGATAATATTTCGTGTCTCATAAACTTAATAAGCTTTTTTATAAAGTTTAAAAGTTTTCTTTGACTTACATTTGATTTCTAAACTTCGACTTATATTCCTTTTTAAACATTATTCATGGAAACTGAAAATCGAATGAAGCGTCGTCGCCTGAATAAAAGTATGTTCGATTTTATAATGACGCAAGATGAATTTATCGATATTAGCACTAATATGAATCGTGAACGTAATGCTTCTTATGAGCATGAAACACCTTGTGAAGCCCCTGCTAAT